TTTAGTAGTAGCTCTGCCCACTAGTATAGATATTTGTGATTACTCTTAGATAAGTGAACCAGTTTTCCCTCTGTATCTTAGGTATTTTTTGTATCTTAGGTATTTTTTGTATCTTAGGTATTTGTTGTAAATCTCTTACTGTGGATAAAGCATGACTCGTTTTTGATAAATGATCTTTGAAAATAAATAGAACCTCTTAAAATATAGGAGCTATAAAATATATATATTCACAAAATTTTTAATAGTACATTCAGAGGTTCCAAAAAATTTAAACCTAGAGACTGAAGAACCGGTTAAGAGCACCGGCTGCTTTCCATAGGACAGGGTTGGATTCAATTAACACCCACATGGTAATAAACAACTATTTATAATTCCAGTTCCAGGGGATCCCACACCCTCACATGGACATGCCAGTGGGCACATGACCAAGGCATGCAAATAAAAATAAATTAATTTTAAAACTCGAGTCTGATACAAATAAGGGCAATATTTGTGTAGAAAATCAGGATTACTGGACTGTTTTTAAAGTATAATTTTAGTGTGATCATTCTCTTTAAAATTCAAGTCCGTCTTGAGAACTCATCAGTAGCTGATAGACAAGCTGCTCAAGCCTAGCTAACCAGTGATGGACACCGGAAAGGAAAGCAGAATCTTCAATGTGTTCCTCTGCCTAATGCAAATCTTTCTTTAATAGTGTTACAGAGGCAATTAAAAGAAAAGCAAAGCTCAGCCACATAAAAAATATTTCCTCTTCTCTGATGACCGGCATGATAACGTGCGAGTAAAAAATGCTACTCAGTGTTTTGCCAGACAAACTCTGTAATAGTTAATCATTCAGAGCAGGTTGTTAATGCCCAAATTATTTTTCTTTATCTCTCTGAATTTTATGCCATAACATTACTTAAAATAATATGATCATAATAAAAAGCAATACTTGTATATAATTCTTGAATTTCCACAATGATGATATTTATAAAAAGTTAGGCACTTTCAATTTGTCATGCCAGAATCAAGCAAAACGAAACTCAGAATTAATACACATCTTATTTAACATCACCATATACACTAAAAATGTATGCCTTTCCAGCTGGACTGTGACCGAAAAAGCATGGGATAAAACCGGACTCTCTGAACATGGCGAACAATGAGGGCTGATGAGACACCAAGGACAATGGCACAGGGTTTTGATCCTACTTAATGTGCTGGCTTTGTGGGAGCCTAGCCAGTTTGGATGTTCACCTTCCTAGATATGGACGGAGGGGGGAGGACCTAGGACTTACCACAGGGCAGGGAACCCGGACTGCTCTGTGGACTGGAGAGGGAGGGGGAGAGGAGTAGGGGGAGGGAAATGGGAGGCTGGGAGGAGGTGGAAACTTGTTTTTTTGTTTATGTTTTTTTTCTTCTTCTTTCCTCAATAAAAAAAAATGTATGCCTTTGATCAACATTATGAAACATATGTTAATTTCTGGTCATGACTCCGATCCTAGAACTAACTGCGTACGCATATTGAAAATAAGTTATCTGGTTAGTCTAACTATAGCAAAAAAAAATAAACAACTGAAACCTGTGAAAACCTGAGGTTTCACATAGGATTATTTTCTAAAATAAGGTAGGAAGATAAATAGCAAGGTGATTGATTACAGCGAGAGTGTATTATGCTATTGGATGAGTTTTTACATTTTAATAATAAAATGTTTACCTACATGTTTAAGTTAGGATTTGTTGGAATGTAACTATGTTATTAACAACTGGGAAAATTTCACTATTGAATAAGAAAAACTTCCTTATGTTTTATGGCTATTAATTCCTGTGATGCACATTCTTGTCTTCCTTAGCACAAAACCAAGTGAACCTGGAAAGTTTGTTATCGCTTCCTAGTAGAAAAAAAGAGAGGGTCTAATGTTTGTAGCCAATCCATCTTCCTGACAACCTCCCACTGCCCGTAATCATGGGAGAAACTAGAGTGGACGGAAAGTGAAAAGCCGACTGAACGGTAACTGCATGACGTAAATTCCATGTTGCTATTCATGATCGAGCAGGACTTTTGGCAGTGAAGTTGGAAGACTGTAAGCATGTTCCAATAAACAACCCCTCATCATGGCTCTATAAACAAGTCCAATAAATTCATTGGTTTCCCACAAAAAAAAAATAAATAAAAGGAGTGAAAAGAAAGCTAATGCTGAGCAAATGTGATATTGTAAACATCAAAGAGGTATAGAAATGCAAATACATCTTCATGTCATCATATTCTTTTTTGTTTGTTTGTTTGTTTGTTTGTTTGTTTTGAGACAGGGTTTCTCTGTGGCTTTGGAGCCTGTCCTGGAACTAGCTCTGTAGTCCAGGCTGGTCTCGAACTCACAGAGATCCGCCTGTCTCTGCCTCCCGAGTGCTGGGATTAATGGCGTGTGCCACCATTGCCCGGCTCATGTCATCATGTTCCATCACCTAATGATGATACTGCCTCCTAAACTGAGACTCTGACCTCAGCAATGAGGGCCTTTTCTCCCTCAGCCTTTTTATTCTCAGTACTGCGATAAGAATTCTACCATCTTTCATTCTGCTTTGTAACTGCCAAGAGACATCCCTTTAGCCATGACACTCCTAGATGTAAATTTAGGACATAGCTTGAAGTGTTAGAAGAAAAAAAAGTCAATTGATTCAAATTTTAGCTTTAGGGAACAATTATCTCCAATTATTAACTTTTGTTGTTATTGTTGACAAATACCAAAGTAGCTGGGGAGAGAACAGATAAAGTTCTCACAGGCAATTAATATAGGAAAGGGGAATTAAGGCTAGGGAATTAATAAGGAAATGTGATATTATCTATATTTTAATTATAATTGTCATGGCACATTGACTTCCTATTTATAAGGAGCAATGTTGATCTTTATTTACTTATTTATATCGAGTCAGGGTATCTATTTAGCACAGGCATTCTTACATCACACTTTGTGGATTGTGTTGAACCTGAACATGCAGCAATTCCCTGCCTCATCTTCTGAGTACTGGCAGCACAGACAAAAACCACCGTACCTTGCAGATTTTTATTTAACAAACGCTGAAATCAGGGCAAAGACTAACCGAAAGAACATCTGAAGAAGTGACAACATGACAGTACAAAACAAAAGGACATGTCTCTTTGCTTTAACCTCTATACCAATGTTTCTCGTGCTGCAAGCAGGAGTCTTAGAATGAATTTCAATTGTTCTCCGAGTCAAAAAACACACTTCCTGCATTATTCTTAATTAGTTTGAGAATAAGGGATGGAGATCTGTTTTACTGTATAAGGTATGATCCCAAACTATAAACTTTGCTAGAAGAGAAATGAAATCAGCCCCTCACAGAGCTCTTTCTGCTGCAGCACCCTACAGAAAATTGTAAGGTATGGAAGCAGCATAAGTGTCCACCAAAGCACCAGCAGAAAAAGAAGTAACAACTTTTATATATAAAAGCAATGTTATATATAAAATGTAAATATTATTTAGAAGAGACAGAGAGAGAATGGGGGGAGACTGTCATCTGGGACAACACTGAAGAAACCAAAGAAATGAGAAGATCCAGAAACAGATAGCTAAATATTATTTGTTTTCACTTATGTTTTAGCTTTTTTTCTTTTTAAAACAACCATTGTAGTTAGAAACTGAGCATAGAACAATGAATTACCAGCAACAGAGTAGAAGAAGAAATGTAGAAAAATAGACATGCCGTTATGAAAATGATTAGAAATGGATATTAAACGTAGAGGGCTCTTATAAATCATAGGCATTAACAGGGCAGGCCTGGGCATGCATATAATTCAGTGGTAAAGCACTTGCCTTGATTGTGTGATATGCACATAGGTTTAACATCCAGTAAGGAAAGAAGAAAGGAAGGAAAGAAAGGAATCTGACTATAATTAATAAAACTGCATTGTGCATTCAGATTATTCTATTGTGTTTCCGATTCTTTATCTAATGCTATAGATGAAAAAAAAATGAAGCAACCATTCAACTCTAAACACAGTTTGTTAGAAATTATATGCCCTTTTCCATACTTTGAAACTGCATAAGAGCCACTCATCAATCAATAAAATCGATTGTTTATTTGTTTGTAAAGTGGTGGTAGCCCTGCGACTTTGTTGATCCCACTGGAAATGTGATGATTACTACAAAAGGCTCAAGTGCTGGCTGAAATTCAAGACGACCTTGCTCACAAATTGCAAGAGGCGCAATCCTGTCCAGGTGATTCAAGGAAAATCAACGAGGAACACAAACGCCATTGTTTAAACTTCGTTTATTTGTAGGTTAAAATGTAATGCCATACAGTTTTAACAATCACTTAAAAAAGGATTTGTATTTGCATAAAATGAAGCAAAACAGAAATATATGAAATCAAATACTATCTTGCTTCAGGTTTTCAAATCAGCACTTAGAGTCCCGATATGCATCTCTATACATTGTAAGTATATTATATAAATATACTGTAAGTGATCTCAAAACCACAATAAATATTAAGTAGGGTTTTAGGCACACGGCATAAGAAAAATGCAGAGTCTGCATAATTCTAGAGAGTGTGGAGCAACGCACTCTCAGGTCATTTTCACCCACCTATTTTACACAATATATAGACAGCCATCACATGTGATCCTCTGTCACCTCCGCATCTAACATTCATCCAGCATTAGTGCCTTCTCACTCACTCTTTGATATTTTGTTCTATATGGCTGTCACATAAGAAAATACTTCGAAGTCTTCTTCAATTAAATGCCTAAATAAGTAGAGCCTATCTACAGAACATACTCATGGAATTATGCAGAGAGGCATGGACTCTCACAACTGTTCCAGGTAATACTGGGACTTGCTCTGAAGGCAAAATTATAAATTTTGAGATATACCAATGATTTTAAAATTGCCAATAATATTAAATTCAGAAATCATTAGAAACTGAGGTAACACCTGTTTTCTTTTTAAAGAGATAGAAATACTTGAAAATATGCCAAAAGTATCGTTTTTTTTTTTAAAAAAAAATCCTGGCAAAATATGACCTCAGTCACTGTCAGCTTTGTTTTTAACCATTTCTGTGCAAATGTAAACTGAGGAACACTCTTCTTAGATGACTTTATACTGTTGGGATTAAAGATCACAGCCATGGACACCTGAGATCACCTTCTGATGAGTGAAGCCCAATGCTTCTCATAGTAGAACCAACATCATTGATAAAAATGAACCACGCCGGCAGGCTGCTGCCATTTCAGCTACAAGTCTGACTCTGGCATATCAGGCATGTCCGCCATCAAATACCCAATCCCATAGCGTCCATTGGGAGCGGTGTCCAGTGTCGGGGAACCACTTTGTTTTCGATAGATATTTTTACCAAAATTAGGCGACGACATTTCGCTTGGTATCTTGCCGTGAATGAGACTGGCGTCATCTCCTTCCAAGTTTACAGGCTCTTTCAGGACTCTTCCTCTCTTGTAGGTCACAGAGGCCAAGTTACCGGAGCTATCGTCTATGAGGTTGCAGCGACGAACAACGAAAACAACAGGGACGGGAAGTATTGCAAGAGCCATCAGAGAGAAGCAGACAACCATCCCCCACACCGGGTAGCTCAGAAATTCTTCGGAAGCCTGGTAAAGTCAAGGAAAGATAAATATCAACCATCTTCTTATGCGCACAGATGAAAGCATTATATTGGTCTTGGTTTATAAGTCAGGTTCTCAGATAATCGTTTCACTTGCTCTGACTGACAGTAAGTAATAGAAATGACATTCAGCAAACTCAATGATTAAAAAGTCTGATCATTAATATTTTTTGTTTCTTAGAATTCTGCCCTGACCCCGTTAAACTTGAGGGAACCCAAGGAGGAGATAAAGATAAAAGGGAGTGGGAAAAAGAGAGAGGGGAGGTAATTATCTCCCAACTGAATGCTATCACATCTATTAGTTTAGGAAAAACCAAAAGAATTGACAATAATTAGGAAAAACTATCAATCACTAAGTCTGGGGGTACTCTGTTACTAAGCAACAGACATGTGATATGTGTACCATACCATCTCTCAAAAATCTTGAAATTTAGATTTCAAAGCACATCTGGTCCCATGGTTTGATAAATAAGACAGGCTGGTCTATGTTTCCGTTGTGAATGTATTATTATTATGCACAATTATTGACCGTAGAGGGGTTTAAATCAGTGCACTGATCTCTAACAGCCAACACCGACCTCATGTTTGAGCCAGTGTGGCTATACTACTTGGAAACACGCCTTCCATAGTTACTTGCTAATAGAAAACAATTGTCATAAACTCTTGATTTAATATTTATTTAAATTATGTCTGTATTGCTAATATGCATTTTAAGCATCGTGAGTAGCTTATATTTAATGAATTTCTACAGATATATATTTTTGGAGCTTTACTATGCTTCCTAGAGTCAAAAGCCATGAAACCACTGTTCTTCAATGATAAAATGAAGAGATCTGGTTTAATAAATAGAAGGCTTTTTGAATGTCATTTGCTAAAGAAGTTTACAGTGTATAAACATCATAGCTGTATGAGGTGCAAATTATAAATGCTAATAACCCCAAACCAAAGTAGCATCTTTCAAAAGAGATAAATAAATAAACAAATAATATAATACTATAAAGTAAATAAAATACAAAGATTTCTAGCGTGGCATTTTTTTTCTTTTTACTTCAAATAAGCTGGAGGGAGTGAGAACTTGGATTGGTATGTGTAATAAAAAATGACAGTTTGTTTTGTTTTAAAAAACAATTTTGCATACAAATGGATGGAAATAGAAAACACTATCCTGAGTGAGGTAAGCCAGACCCAAAAAGAGGAACATGGGATGTACTCACTCATATTTGGTTTCTAGCCATAAATAAAGGACATTGAGCCTATAATTCATGTTCCTAGAGAAGCTAAATAAGGTGAATCCAAAGACAAACACATAGGCATCCTCAGGAATATTAACCTTCATCAGGCGATGAAAGGAGACAGAGACAGAGACCCACACGGGAGCACCGGACAGAAATCTCAAGGTCCAAATCAGGAGCAGAAGGAGACGGAGCACGAGCAAGGAACTCAGGACCACGAGGGGTGCACCCACACACTAAGACAATGGGAATGTTCTATTGGGATCTCACCAAGGCCAGCTGGCCTAGGTCTGGAAAAGCATGGGATAAATCCGGACTAGCTGAAGATAGCGGACAATGAGGAATACTGAGAATTCAAGAACAATTGCAGTGGGTTTTTGATCCTACTGCACGTACTGGCTTTGTGGGAGCCTAGGCAGTTTGAATGCTCACCTTAGGAGACCTGGATAGAGGTGGGCAGTCCTTGGGCTTCCCACAGGTCAGGGAACCCTGATTGTTCTTCGTGCAGATGAGGGGGGGGGGGGGTACTTGATCGGGGGAGGGGGAGGGAAATGGGAAGCGGTTGTGGGGACGAGGCAGAAATCCTTAATAAATAAATAAATTAAAAAAAATTTAAAAATTCAAAAAAAGAAAAAAAACAACTTCTTTATTTTGCATTTTACCTTCTCCTCAATCCATGCGTTATAGCCAGGAGGACTTAATCCCATATTCACAATGCTAGCGATTAGCAATGTTAGTAGCATTAAAGGGGAAATGTATTTCCACATATAATAGTAATATCTGCTCGGAGCAAAGCCTAACATATCCGTTAGGTCTTCTATAAACCTGGGGAAAAGAAAACATTTAATTATTCCTCCATCATATGACATTACCTTACTAATCTGATAGAAATCTAGTTATAACACCTTAGTATGTGTTGCACTGATCACAAATTCAATGGCTAGAGGGGTAGCTCTGTGGGCTAAGTGCGCTCCATTCAAGCGTGAGGGCTTAAGTTCAGATTCCAGCACCCATCTAAAAAGCGGAGGCGCGTCAGTATGCATATCAACCTCAGCGCTAAGGAAATGAGACTAACAAATCACAGGAGCTCACTTGCCAGTCAGGCCAGCTGACCCAGAAAGGGAGAGACCGTTTCCAAAAATTAAGATGGAAGGCAACAGAAGATGAGAACAGAATGTTATCCTATGGTTTCCAGGGGTACATAAACAGACAACCTTGCCTTCACATAGATGCATACATACAAACACACACCAATTCAAAATGAAAGATGATGTAGAGAATGAATATTTACTTTTAAAATAAATTGAAGCTGTTTTCAGTATGTTTAGCATAAACCCCTAGCCAATTATTGAAGTGTACTATGGATGATAACCTAGAAAACGACTGCAAAATTTGTTGTTATGTTAAACACCCTGAATAACCTTTTACAAAAATTATAGTGATTCTATGCTATCCCAGAATACCACCAGTGGGTGTTTAAATTTTGTAGAATGCTCACCGTTTGTTTTTCTGAGTAATATCATAATTGAAAGAATATTCTCATTTTGCAATTCATTCAAATATCTCTCAATTCCAATCTGAGTCTTCAAGCCTCTCCCCTAGGATTGTCTCTTTACTTTTTCTTGTAGTTCCCCAGGGACAATTACCTGTGGCTACCTCTGTTTTCTGGTTCATGAAGACATCTGAGTTCCTTACTACTCATAAACTAGCTATGGAACCAGAATCAGGTTAGAATTTCACTGGACCGGCGTGGGAGGCGGGCGTGTCTGGTTACAGTAGTATAATTTATAAGGGAGGAAATTCAGTATCAACATGGTAACAGTATATGGCCATTGTAAAAACAGTCGTCTCCCTTTGAATTCAGCTAAAAGTGAATCTTGGGGCCACTATGATAACTCAGTGGATGAAGAAGACCCTGGCAACCAAGCCTGTGACCTGAGTTAGATGGCCAGAAACTCCATAGTGTAAAGACAGAATCACTCTTGAAAATAGTTCTCTGACCTCCTGAATATACTGGAATATGTATTCCACACACACCCATAAATAAAAAATATAGTGAAATAACAAATACTTAGATAAAGAACAATGAATCTTACTGCTACCCTTTAGTCCCTGCATTGATGATCTTTAACTGTCAACAAACATTATACTTGAATGACAGTTTAGCTATATTCAAAATTATGTTTTCTTTTCTTGATTATAAACATATATAGTTAACAAATAATATATAAAAATGCCTGTTGATGAGCAGAGTTTTCAATTAATTATTAGTTTGATTTGTCAAAATAAAGTTTGTTTTAGTATGATGCTCAATATATTTTCTTGTACTAATAACTTAGAGACCTGGTATTAGCTATAATATCTGGTTTTGAAGAACTCTGCCTACTCTTTCAATAATCACATTATCACTTATTTGAGGTCAGTTCCTTCAGTATTGTTTTGTGTGGTATGTTTGATATATTAATGTATTCATTATATTTATTTGACTTTATCAAAAATGAATAAAAATAAAAATTATTTCCATTCTTAAATAATTAACTACTTTGCTTTTTTAAATGTTCCTTTTATTTTGGGGCCGCATTTATAACATATTTAAGTTTTACACACAATTATTTTTTGAATCCCAATACTTCTGCTTTGACATCTACTTTTTTCCTCTTGCATATTTTTGAAAATTAAAATAATTCCACAATTCCATCCTTTTAAAATATCTGTCAATTCTAAAACTTTAGTGAAGTATCTTGTGAAAATTCTATTTTAATGGCTTGCTGTATGACTCATTTCCTCATTTTCTTTCTTTTGAAATGACTTGTTTTCCTTAAGACTTGACTACACTTAAAAGGAATCAATTTTCCCAAATTTTCAGGAGGAAAGAATGAGGACAGCTTTATGCTTGCAAAATGATCAATAGTTGCCTTTGTTTTGTCTCGGACCTATGGTCTCTCCTCCTCTCATTTATCTCTTCCTCCATTCAGACTGGCCCTGCTTATGTCTATCTTGCTAACTTAATTATCTTCTCATTATTTTTATTCAGAACAGAGTTTAATTTTAGAAGGGCACATTAGTTTGCTGCTGCTTTCAGAAACTTGTTAACTCCCTCACTAAAGATGTTACTGTGTTCTAAGCTCTTTGCAGCCCTTGCAGTGAGGGATGAGACCCAAGATATTCATTTGAGATTAGGCCACATCTTCAAAATAGCATGGCACGCTTTGCTTCAATGAACTAAAGAGATTAAAGAAGGTGTCAGAAACCTAGTTGTATGTTTTCTACTCTCCTCCCCCCTATAAGGGACACTACACAGATCTTTTAGGTAACAGTGGCTCATCTTTACCTTTCATGAAGGTTCATGGTGGGGGGATCCTCTTGTCAAAGACTGTAAGTCTTTGGTTTCACTATTAAAACCAGTAAAGAAATTTAAAAAAAAAAAAAAAAAACTCAAAGGAACAAAGAACTATGTGGCCATCATCTCCAGGGTTTAAGAATACTCCTTTTACATTTGTATTCATATTTACTAATAACACTGAGTTAGTATAATTGAATATTTTCTTTCTCTGTGCTAAACTGTTTGCTATGACAAAAGTTTGGATTTAGATTGTCTACTCTCAATTGCCTGCCATCTTTCAAAGGTATTAGTGGAGATTCAGGTAGAAGTATATTAGGTTACTGAGCTTATGAAATCATAAAATCATTGGAGCTGAGCAGGAAGTATTCAATGCTGCTCAAAGATGTAAAGGGAAAACTAATTAAATTGGAAATTTCTTGTGTGAGAGTTTCCATCCCAGAAGTTTAGATAAATTATGACCTTTGAAATCAAGCTGTCTTATTCCAAATGACAATTCTGCCATCTTTTAACATACATCTTTCTTTCTTTGAATTTCATTTTTGGTACTTCAAAAACTCCGATATCTAACTTGAAAGATTATTGTTAAAATCATAATGACATATGCAGAACATACGATTTCTTACACAATAGGAATTCAGCAAATGCAGCTATTGTTGGCATTGCTTTTCCTCCTGTTGTTATGACTGGTTAGAAACACTACCATTAAAAAATCGTATTCTCGATCATATTATATAATAATATAATAATCATATATATTATATAATAATCATATATATAATAATCAGGCTTCAAATAATAAGCTACTTAAATGTAAATCTAAATTGATAACTTATTAACAACTAAATTGATAACTTATTAATTGAGAAAGAAGTCTAGTAACAATATCAGATTCTATCACAGTAAAGGTTAGGATTCAATGGTTATGAGGTAACACATTAAGAAACTTGGTTTTGTAATCAAGATCTAAATCAAATTTCTACCTGTAAAGTTAGCACACTGTGCCTTTTGAAACGGGAAGAAACAATCCCCCATCTTAACAGTGTGTGTAATGTTAGTCACCGGAGAACATTTCTCCATATACATTTAATTTTAGAACAATTTTAGGTTCATAACAATGCTGACGTAAAGATGCTGAATCCAATATATCTCTGATCCCAACTTATGAGTCATGTCCCCCATTATCAACATTCTATATCAGAGCTGCATATATATTAGAAATGATAAGCTGGTATTGACATATCAGTATTTTCTATTGCACATAGCTAAAATTCATTATTAGTATTATGCCTTCTATGGGTTTGAACAAAACCATAACAACTTATATTTATTATTATTATATGTGTTCTAAACACACCTTGGGCTCAATCTACACATCTGTCCCTATCCCCAGTTGCTATCAAACACTTATCTGGATACTATCTAAACAGATGTAACAAGTTGGAATCCATCCTGATGCAGCATTATCAGCTACAGCTTTTGTCTCTTAGCAATATACATTATATTTCCAACATTGTTTTTATGACTTTGTAGGAATTTATCTAGGATTGGACATTTTCTTCTCTGGGTAGATTTATCCATTCATCTGTTCAAAGGTATCTTGACTGTTTCTGATTTTTGACCATTCTTAGGAAAGCTGCTATAACCATTTTTGTACTAGTTTTCATCTGGAATATATTTCTTCTTAATAAATACCAAACTGTATACCTGACCTGTCATGTGATAAAAGTATCTTCGTTGTATCACAAGCTGGAGAACTGTCTCCTGAAATGGCTACTTTATCTCATATCTCTAACAGCAATGAATGAGGGTTTCTTCTAGTCTATATTCTCATCAGTACTTTGTGTTGTTGGTATTTGAAATGTTATCCATTCTAGCAAGTGTTAAGGATATCTCATTGTTATCTTAATTTGCATTTAATTTTTCATATATATGTATATGTAGGTATTGTGATTGTATATGCATGCTTACATATCTGTGTATACATGTGTATGTATGTATGTATGGATGGATGCATGGATGGATGGATGCATGCATGCATGCATGCATGTATGTATGTATGTGTGTGTGTTGCCCTGGGATTGACATTGCATGTTATTCTAGCCAGTTTTGTGCCAACTTGAAACAAGCTAGTGTCATCAGAGGAAGGAGCCTTAGTTGAGGAATTGCCTCTATGAGACCCAGCTGTAAGGCATTTTCTCATTTAATGACCAATGGGTGAGGGCCCAGTCATGGTGGATGGTGCCATCCCTGGGCTGCTGGTTTTGAGTTCTATATTAGAAGGTGGGATGAATAAGCCATGGGAAGCAAGCCAGGAAACAGCATTCACCCATGGCTTCTGCGTCAGTTCCTGCCTCCAGGTGTTAGCTCTGCTTGAGTACCTGTCCTGACTTTCTCCAGTAATGGACAATGATCCTGAAGTGTAAACCAAATTAAAATCTTCCCTCCTCAGCTTGCTTTAAGTCATCGTGTTTGATCACAGAAACAGTAGCCCTAACTAAGACACACATCTTCCATAATCACAGTATGTTTATGCAGAGTTTCTTACTGAATGTTATGCTTTTTGGCTAACCAGTCTTCTAGAAACTTCCAGTCTCTCTTTCCTTTATGGAGGGATTATGGGCAAGCCACCATGCCCAAACAACATTTTTTACATTGGTTTTAGGAATCCGAACTTCATTTTTTGTGCTAACTGAAAGTGCTTACTCACTAAGCTATCTCTCTAGCCCCCTTAATTCCCATGCATTTTCATGATGATACAGAAGTTTTTCATGCAGAATTAAGACACAAGATTTTGTTTACTTTTAAAATTGCTTTTGCTGCTTTCACTAACTGAAATGTGATTATTACAAGCAATTCCTATTCTTCCTGGCTTGTAGCTTTGGAAAATATTAAGATTGTCTCAACTCAGTCAAAATACTCATTCAATACCCATTATTGTATTTAGGTCACATAAGAGACTCTAGTCTTCATCTAACATAAACTTTACACAACTCTCTCATCACTCCATCTGTGTATGTCTGGTGGAGACAATTATTTTAAAACATACTGAATAAATACTTCGAAGTTCTCTTATCCATTGAGATGAACTTGACATTTCATTTCATATCAAATACACATTCTTCACACATAGAAAGTATGTGACCGGAGTGTAAACATACAGAAAAGTCAGTTAATTCCATATGTAGTCTGTGTGCTGTGAATGTATATGCATCTCAGACTAGACTAGGTCATTTTCCCCAAATCTTTCTGACACCAGAAAACATGAACTCCATCTCTTTGTCTCTGTCTTTGTCTCTCTCTGTCTCTATCTCTCTTTCTCCCTTTTTTCTCCCTTCTCATAATATAACCCAGCCTAAGAAGTAGGGCACAAGCTTTATAATGAAGTGGGGGAATCTGTGAGTCACAGATCTGTGATTGTTCAGGTTCTAAATGAATAAGGAGCCTCTTGGGTTTCGTATTCTCATCGTATATAAAATGTGAGAAACAATAACAAGTCAGAGAAACTTATGATCTAGGAACACATCAAATACTTTTCAAGTGTGTAAGTTATCCTTTGAATAAGAATTAAGCCAGGGCTTAGAACTCTAGGCACCCTTAAATTGTATGCCGTTCCCAACCCTCAGGCACTGAGGAAATACGCACCCTTAAACTGTTCAATCAAGAAAAGACTGTGAAATACTTGACTAGCTGAAGATTCATCCCTTTTCATTTTGTTCCCCTTTAAATGAAATATTGATCAAACTTTTCAAAAATAGAGATAAAAAACAGCTGCATGCAATCAAGTATACTTACTTATCTATGCCGTAAACAAAGCTTACAGCAATATTCTCCAAGATGACCACAATTAGCAGAGGCAATGTAGCAGAATAATCATCAAACATTGTAACAAAGTAATTTCCAGAGCGCTGCACGAATATCAGGCCAATACAAAATGCTAAGAGGCAACAAATAACTAAAGAAAATAAACAAACGTAAAATTAGCCTTTACATAGAACCAAGACTTTCTGTTATTGTGAATCATTACATTCAACCAATAGTTTTCAATTTTCATAATTTGTTGTAGGCAATAGCTTCGCTGATTCTATGGAAAATTACATGTTAGGAGTAGGTTACACAGGGTTAACCTCTAAATTTAATAGTGCATAATTCATCTCCTTAATTGTGGGGCATCCCATCTACCAAGTACAAATAATAACTGAGGGACAATTGTATGACAACTTTAAAAATAAATATCCATCCCATATTTCTCTTAATAGAAAAGTGACCTTTCAGGCAGCTCACACTCATAGGTGATTATTATATTTAATAAGCTTCTGTAGTGTTTAAATACCAATGCAATAATGAGTCTAGTGTGATTTCTAATGGATTATCAAACTTACAAATGCTCAAGTTTGATTGAAATATATTGTCATTAAAACATAAGATGAAAAATCCAATTAGAAAAAGTTTCACTACCAACCCATATTTACATATTTTTCTTGCCTGAATAGCTTGAGTGTGCAAAGCAATGTGACGATTATTGGGATGAGTATTCTCCTTATCCAAGCATCAACTGAGAAGAAATTTTGCCTGCTTAACATCTAAGTCACAAACTTTGGGACACTTGTTATTGTAAAACCTTACAGATACATTTGTAATCGATAGTGTGGTTTTCTGCACATTTTAAAGCTGTTTTTTTTTGCCTTTTTGATAGTTAATATAAATAAAGACTGTATTGTATGTCTCAATCTCCTTTTAACGTGAGTAAAATTAGAAGAAGCTGGGAATAGCTTTCTCCACTCCCTTTGTGTGGATCAGATGTGAGGTTTCACATACGGCTTAAACTGCCTGCTACTTCAGGCTGTCTAACCCTCTTAAACTGTAAACTCAAAATAGATTCTTTCTTTAATTACTTATCTTGGGCATGTTTTTTTTTTTTTCATAGCAAAAGACAAGTAACAAATATAGGATAGCAATAAAAACTACTTTTTGCAAAAGATAAAAATGTAATGTATATTAAATACAATTTTTCCTGAAGGAACTAATACACTTAAATAATAAGACCTACTATTATATTATTATAAATTATAATCTATCGTCACATTGATATTAATGCAATCCAAGAGATTACACAATCTAATTATAGTATCTATTCTCTCAGCAACATAAATGGGCCACAACTGATACTGAAAATCAAAAGCAAAATCTCACCAGTGAGTATTTCCTTCCTCACTTTGAACGTGTCCACAACAGGAGTGATGATTCCTTCAATGGTTCCAAACATGCTGCCAAGTCCAAGATTTATCAGCATGAGAAAAAACATCACTGACCAGAACGGAGATGCAGGAAAATGAGTCATAGCTTCTGTAAAGGCAATGAATGCCAAGCCAGTGCCCTGCACAGCCTGCAGAACACATACAACCAGTATTAACCAAGAGCAAGAGCATGAGATGCTTCTATTCAACAGTAATGACCAGAGCTACTGCAAAGAAATATGCTAGCATAAGCTTTAATTCCTTAAATCATGTTATCCTTCCCAGGACCTTGACTGATGGTATTGAGTAACCAAAGACTGAAATACAATTCAGAGTTGCTAAGCAAAATATACAACCATATGGTGTTGCTTATTATTTCAAAGATCCGGGAATGATAAGGTGTATTAGTAAATAAATGATATTTGTTAATTTTGTTAAAACTTGTGAATGCAAATACTGATTTATTGCAATAAACACAAAACACGATATATATGTATGCAAATATTTCTGGCCCATGAAGTAGCTTAGTCAGCTAGAATAAAGAAAATAAACAACGGAAAGAATAAACATTTTAGCTTAAAAGAATGCAAAAGAAGAAATTACTGAATTATAGAAAGTCAGTTTTCAATCTTAAGAAAAATCAATTTCAAAGGAAAAAACAGAATGAAACACCTTTTTGGTCTGTTTCTCTCTCTCTCTCTCTCTCTCTCTCTCTCTCTCTCTCTCTCCCTCAAAAAGAGTGGAGATGGATATGTGGGGGAATGGGCAGGAGCAGGACAGAGCAGGGGGAGGGGAAACTGTGGTTAGAATGTGCTTTATGAAAAACTTCTTTTATTCCTCTTGCACTGCCTTGTCCAGCCTTGTGATCCGGACATTTGCCTTATCTTATTGCACCTTATTTTGTGTTGTTTATTTGTTCTCCCTTAGAGGCCTGTTCTTTTGTAAAGAGCAATGGAGGGGGAGTGAGTCTGGGAGGAGACTAGGTGGTAGGGGAGATGGAAGAAGTGGAGTATTGTATGAGAGACGAATCTATTATTGGTAAAAAATGCAAGAAACAAAAAAGAAAACACATGCTTTAGATAAAAAAAATCAAGTGCACCCTTATCTTATCTAAATCTAACATTCCTATGTTCCAATGTTTAAAAAAACCTTTGGTTATTTGATAATTTTCACAATTACTGAAATTGTTAGAGAAAAAAGTCAAGAACACACATGAAATTATAGGAATGTTTAAAGACTTTCTGATTAGGACTGCATTTGCTGAAAATGATGCTAACAACTGAAACATTAGGTATCATGAAATTAAACAACTTTTTTACAAGAAAAGAAACAAATGAATAGACAGCCTATACATAAAAGTTTGCAAGTCATCCTGAATATCCAAAATATACAAAGAGATTTAACTACTAAAAAAGAAGAATAAATTCATTGGTTCAGTGTCAATCATTGCCTCATCATCTGCATAATCCAGAAGTTTGATGACATCTATTTGGGTGATTTCCAGAAGAAAGGCTATTTTTAGGAATTCCCTGTCTACAAATCATTTTCAGATGGACTATTCCACCACAATTAAAGTATTTTGTATTTTGAAAAAAAAAAGAAGAATAAAAGTACAAAATACATGGACTGAAGAAATGAACAGCAATTTCTCTAAAGATGAACCACAAACACATTCAAAGGCTCAACATATTAGCTATAACAGAAAAAATTAAAATGATATTATTTGTTATTCATCTTACAAGTCCTCAGAGCAGTCATCAAAAAAAAAATCACAACGAATACTGGTGAAATTGTTGAGAAAAGGAATTCTCATATACCACTGGTAGGACTCTAATGATATGGAAATCACTATGAAATTTTCCTCCAACCTAAAAGTGGATATACCATAAAACACAGATGGACCACGCCTGGTGTTTAATGAACGAACTCCCCAATAACACATCACAGGCATACTTGAACATTAGTTACTGTAGTACTGTTGACAACAGCTTAGGTTAGAACCAAGTAGGTGAGCACCAGCAGAGGAAGGGCAGGCATGATGCAGCATGTACACTATGAAATTGTGTTAGTGCTTAAAAACAGGGTCATATCTTGTATAGAAAAGTGAGTATAACTGAAGATATTCATATCAAACATACTTAGTTTTAGAAGGACTAATCTTGCATGTTTTCTCTCATTTCTCGTTTGTAAAATGTGTGTGTGTATGCGTGTGTGTGTGTGTGCTTGTGTATCTGTGTGTGTCTGTGTGTGGTTAGTGGAAAAAGTAGGCCATTTACTGATTGAGTTGTTGGATTCTTGTTATTTAGCAGTTAAAGTTTTTTGCCTATTTGGTGTGTTTCCCTTACCTTTTTTCTAACACACATACACAATATCTATTTAAGCATTAAATTAATATATACATGTGTTAAATTACACATTCGTTAAAGTATAAACAACATTGTCTGAGAAAACAAACAGTAGGAGGAACTCTTGGGAGGAGTGTGCATGGGAGAAATATAACTCCCAAAGGAAACTGTTCTTTTGTAACTCAGTACTATGTACAATGAATCTACAACCATAGGGAAAATAATTCTTAATGAAAAAAAAAATGAGATCACAGGTCAGTGGGTGAAGTGTTTGCTGTACAAATGTAAGGATTTGTATAACTGCCTAGTATCCATGTAAAAGCCAGGCCTGATGCCATGTGTCTATAACTGCGGTACAAAGGTGGAGTTTGGTGGCACACCCAGACATAACAAGCAGATCCCTGTGGTTCCAGGTACATTGAGAAATCAGACGTAAAAAAGTGATTGGTGAAAACACCTATCAAACTATTGTCTCTCTCTACATTCCCAATGAGGAAATGCCATCACATGTACACACACACACACACACACACACACACGGACACACACACACAAAGTGAAATATGTTATTAGTATTAAAAAGAAAACTCTACACTACTTGCATGGTGATTGTATTGCTTCAGTTAAAAGAATTGGTGAACAAACTAGAAATTATATTTTCTCTTAGAATTCAAAGATATAATTATTTAAGGCTTCAGCCATAGTTGCCAGCATGAGATATTTATGTTGAGTTTCAGGCATAGCTATCTATATTAGAGCAAATGATTAATGGCCAATTTCTGTCCTCCTAGTTGACAATGTATGTAGATAACAGCAACCAATAGAAGGACATTTATTACTTTTCCCCAATTTCTTGCTGATTAAAATATATTAGAGTCTAAGAAAAAGACATAATCAGAATGTGTTGAACTCAACTGTCTAACAAAAATTATCATTCATTCATTCATCCATTCATCCATTTATCAAAAACTCAGAAACCAAAATTCAAGTTCTGCATTAAATTTTGTACCAAAATGTGTATCGGATTCGTCTTCATTCTGGAAGAGCTATTGGTTTGAATACTAGTGAGTCTTCTTTTTTTCAAATAACCAAAATCTTTGTAAGTAAACATACTCTATGAGATGCAGAGTTATCTGAGACTTTTGAAACTGCATCGCTAGGCACTGTGCAACCCACTTCACTGAAGAACGCTTTGGGATGATGCATACTTGAATTGAATGATAATGGCTTGACTTCTCAGACATGGCTTACTAACTTTATTTAGCTCATCCTCGATTTGACAGGAGTTGAGATGAAGAACAGCAAACTCCTCTTCTTTTACTTTTTGAATGATGTCATAAACTAAATGATAATCTTCCGCAGTAACAGCTGAAAGGTTAATGTGATGGGGAATGACATCCCGACTAATGTTCCCCATTTTCAAAAATTTCAAAATCATCTCAGAATTCCTAAAAAATAGAGCAGAACGAGAATGAGCACCCTGTTTCTTTAATGCAGGTTTTATAGAGAATTGTACCATTAGAAGCAAATGGAAATGATTTGTCCATACTGTGAAATGCATTTTTCATTCACGATATTGGCTTTGAAGCCCAAGACTGCAAACACCACCAACGTCGCCAGGACAGAAGTGATAAAATTGATGAAGGACACAAGAACAGCGTCGAAGTGGCAGTTATTGTCTCTCTTATTGTAGCTCGAAAAGGCAATGACTCCACCAAATCCCAGACCTAAGGCAAAGAAGACCTGAGTGGCAGCCTCTCTCCACACCTTGGGCTCCAGCATCATTTCGAGCTGTTTGAAAATAAGAGAGAATTAAAGAAGTCAGGAATAAATCCCAAGTTCTGAGCAATTCACTTTTTTTGAGATTAGATCATTTTAATATGGATAAGTGATATCTGTAAACCCAAATGTAATTTAAAATAGGAAAATAAATTATTACTTAGGAATATTTTATTCTAGAAAAGTAGCTAAGAATGCAACAGGGAATATTATCAAGCCCTTACATGGTGACTTTTCCACTTAAGAGAGAACTATTCAGTGTTTCCAGATAAATCATAACCGCAGATGGTGACAGAGAAATTACTACTCTTTGATAATTTCCTATTTTATATCTTTCCTTTTCTTTTCCATTGCATAATACATCAAGTACCAATACAAAGGGAAATAATCACTTCACATCCTAGCCTTCTCATTTTTCCCAAATTTTTGCTGGAAATCTAACTTGTACATGATTGGAATGACTGGGCTGCCACGATACCTTTCCATTTCTTTGAGAACAGAAGGAGGTCTATTGCATTACGAGTGTTCTGAATGTGCAAACACATTTCACCTTGTGGGCTGTGCCTTACTTCTTTGAAAACTCATCAAATCTTTCAAGAACTTAATGAAATAAATCAATTCAATAAGCGCTTAATCTTATTTCCATCCATAAAAATGCTTAATTGGTATTTTTCTCTCTCTCACATTGAAGTCAAATTGTCTTTATTGGGAGTAATGTCAAGGTAGGTGGTAGCTAAGAATATGAATCGTACCAAATCAAACCGTGATGCTAAGAGATTTAAATAAAGTGCAAGATAACGGCAGGAGGGGTGGCTCAGACGGTAAGAGCATTGGTTGCTCTTCCAGAGGTTCTGAGTTCAATTCCCAGCAACTACATGGAGACTCATGGCTGTTTGTAATGAAGTATAGTGTCCTCTTCTGCCCTGCAACCATGCATGCAAGCAGAATACTGTACACATAATAAATCAATAAATATTTTAAAAGAGACAAAAGCCATTGCACTTTTTTTTTAAAGTGCAAGTCAAAGCAACTCACGATCCTCTTCATTCTGCTTTTTCAATAGAAAGAGTAGCAACAAAATTATTGCCACAGTATCAACCAAAGTTTAACTGTCCAATATTGATAGTGCATGAAGACTGTAGTGACAAACACAGAGAAGTGCTTTGCATGTTTTTCTCATTTATATTCATAGGATACCATGCAGCTGTTGAATCTGCTATCTGAGCCTTTGAAAAGATGAGAAAAAAGCCCATTGCCACATTGCATGTCAGGGGCAGAAATAAATAGTAATATTCAGAACCTCTAAAGCTACCACTCTTCCTCAAATATTGGGATGTAGTGCTTCAGATTATTTAAATTATTTTTAATACTTTATGAAGTATTATTATTGAACTAGATCAATATTTTAGCAAGCAACTATATTTTTAACAGCTGTTTAATATGTGGGGTATTTCTTCAAGTACACTCAGCTGTCTATGATGGCATCACCACTAGATGGCAGAAGAGAGCCGTGTCTAAAGACTTCTTTTCACCTGCTTTCAAATACCAAGGTGAATTTTCCACTTGGTGTTTCAGGGTATGTTGTGTGCTTAGGTACATTCTTTCCTACATAAACAATGTAAACAATGTAAAGTAAAATAGCTTATAACATGCCATGTCTTATTGATGTTCACTGGAGACTTTCCCTTTCCTGAATGGAAACAACAAAAGAGGTGGGAATTGGGGGTAGGCCAGAGGTGGCAGAAGGCCTGGGAAGGGGGAATGGGAGGTGTGGAGGGGAGGGGCAGCGAGGCTGAGGCTCGAATGTAAAATAAATAGATGAAAAAGTAAATAAAATGTTTTTTTAGATTAAAAAAAAAAGTAACTTATCCCAGCATCTTGTTGAAACAGCGTGTTTGCCAAATGGATGAGGCCAGTCCTGACTAAATTCCAGACCATAAGGGACTATAAAGTGATGCCCTGTCTCAAAGGAACAAACAAAACGTATGCTATAATTATTTTAATTTTTTGTCAATACCCTGTATCAGTAATTCTCCAACTTCCTAATGCTGAAACCTTTTAATAATGTTTCTCATGTTGTCCCAACCATACAATTTATTTTTGATGCTAGTTCATAACTCTGATTTCGCTACTGTTATGAATCAATATACTAATAATTATACAGATAGAAGTTTGAAAAAGGATTTGGGACCCACAGGTTGAGAACTACTGCCCTAGAACAAACAAACACTATTTATCTGTAGGGGTAGCCCCAGCCAATCACCTTGCTTGTAGGGCGGGGTCTCCTGAGGAAATTTTTTAGCCATTACTTTATCAATAGTAAATGGAAAGTAAGCTAACAAGAAAAGAGGAAAAAGGGAAAGAAAATAAACTAACATTTTAAAGGAGGTCCCTAATACAAATTAAAATGTTACTATAAGCTAAAGTTTTAAATGCTAGATCCACGTAAAAGTTCGTGTCAGTTCTAAACTATGTACTAAAATCAAACTCCAGAATTGTGTGACAGCCAGTTGTGAACTGGGAAAGCAGTTACAGTTCAGAAGTTAAGCCAGAAGAATTAGTTGCCTTGAACTCAAGAAACATTTTCCTCAGCGCTCTGAATATAAATCGCTTTGGTCATCAAGTATGTGAGGCTTGGAGCAGATTTTAATTCTAAGGTGGTTGAAGTGTATGAATCTAAAGCAGTGTTCCACCGAAAGTTCTCAATGGCACCAAAGATTAAAGAGCACTTTTGGACTAGAGAAGAAAACCAGACGCCCACGTCAGCATTTTTGCTCCTACAGAATAAATACAAACTCAGACCCAGACATACAAAGAACACAGCTTCTTTTACCTCCTAACAAGGCAGCTGACAAAGAATTCAACAGAAGCTAATCCCTCTGCCCCTGCTCAAAGGACCCTGCTTACAGGCCCGCCATTGCGCCACAATCGTCCTTCACATAACCTCCAGGGTAGGAACTATTTTCACTGCACGCTCTGACCTCCTCAGCAGAGTCTGAACAATTTTATGTTGCTGAACCACAAAAACACAAGCACTCCCAAAACCTATTTCTGTTTTGTTTTGAATTAAAAATAACAAGGCATGATTAAGTCTGCAAGTAAATGATGGGTAACCAGGAACAAGACAGACAGCAATAAACTTATCATTGCTTTGTAGATGGACAGCATGAATTTCAAACCCTCTTTGAAACTAACAAAAAAATTTCCTGGTATGTGTATGTCCTTCCAGAGAGAGCAAAACATTCCCAAGAAAACACTAATTCTATATAAGACAGTATTCTAGCAAACAGCGGGATTCTCCCCAAGAGATTTTAGATGGCATGTAACCTGCGGATACTGGGGAAATTAATATTTTCACTAGTTCTTCTAGCAAAAAGATACTGTTGTTGACACAGATATAAACACTCAACCAGAGGACGATGAGTAAATGCAGATCAAAATTTCCCAGATTTATTACTGTAAACCATCAGCTATTTCATAGGTAGAGACTTTTCTAATTTAAATACTGACAATTTCACTCAAGAACCTGAATGGTATGTTTTAAAAATTGGAGGTGGATCGAATTGGAAATACAGAAAAACCACTTCTCTGTAATGGTCTACATACTATAATTTAGAAGTCTAATATATTTATGTTAAAAGAATTAACCCTTAAACATAGCTAAGGAGATATATTTACAACAAACGTAATGGAAAATAAGGCACATACCTTAGGGGTAAACATGTGTCGGATGCCATCAATTGAGCCATTTAAAAGGAGAGATCTGATTAAGAAGCATACAAGTACCACGTAAGGGAACAGAGAACTAAAATACATGATCTGCAAGCAAAAAAAATAAAATGACAATAGGTGAGACAGACAAATGACAATTCTTACAGTTATAACTACACTTTGATAGCTACTATTTTCTTTTTTGTAGTGTGAGGAACAATATGGTTAACAATTTCTAAAGTCATTTTTAAAGGGAATTGTTCGGATTCTTTAAGATCTTATTTGAGACATAAATAAAACTCTGTTGAAACTGATTCATACTGTATATATTTATGGGGTAAAGTACAATTCAATATTTGTATAAGATGCTTAATAACAATTTAGAGCTAATTAACATTTTGTGCTATAAGCTTTTAAGCTTACAATTATCTTAAGAGTCCCAGTAAGTTATGGTGAACTATAGTCACCCCAGTGTGGTACCCAATTCTGAATTTTGATCTTCCTTTTGTCTTTTGGGTGTCATTGTCCAATAGTTTTTTATCCATCTCTTTCCTTCCCAGTCTCTAGAATGACCACTCTACTGCCCTCTATTCTTATGTAATAGGCTCTTTTAGTTAGCCAGAGAGGAAAACACATAGAATTTGTCTTTCTCTTACTACATTATTACACTTATGTTGTATCTGAGTTATTGGAAATGATAGAAGGCCATCTCATTTAGTAGATGGATAATATGCGGAGAGCACATTTGCATGTTTGTGTGTATGCAGAATTAAAAAATCCAAAATGTTTACCATCTATATTGCTTTTAGTAGCAGGATTTAATTCTGCTCAATGACTGTATATATCATTGTGTGCCTACATGAAGAAAAAGCTAACTTAATTTTCCTTGAATTAGGGTACAACTACAGTGTACGATTAATTAATGGTGTTGATAGTTTTTAATGCCTATTTAAAAGCAATATTTAGGAAAGAAAGGATCAAACATAATCTGCCTAACAAGTCTTGGTTCATGTTTTACAGATATTTTATGGAATTTTTTATGATGAAGCCATAAAACTCCCAAAGTATTGTGTAATCTTTAGGTACTGCATTCAGTATAAAACCTTTAACCATTTATTTCTGCTATGTTTGCTTGTAAGGTACTCAGGAAATTGCTTATCACCCAAAGGAGTCATTTGAACCAGGCATTAACTATCTTCTTGACATCTCCAGGTGGAGGTCTAACAAGTATAAAACTTCCCCACTGTAGAAACAAACTTCTGAATTTCTCTCTAACTTGTGCCCTCTCCTTTTCAGAAAATGGTCCCGGCGATCCCGTTGCTGAAATCATACATGCAGAGTTGTCCAAGACAATCTGCAATATGCCCTCAGGTTCCAGATCAGCATTCCAGCTGTGTCATTTTCTGCTAACTGCATCCTAAGTCTTCCTAATAGCATTGAACCGATTGCTAATTGCTCCCTCAGTTCTGCAAACCTTTAAGCTAATAATGTTCTTCTGTGGAGCTCAGGCCCTCATGCCCTTACCACCTGGTAGGTGCAGCAAGCTCAGCTTCCCCCTGTAGGCACACCACCTGCTGGCTCCTCTTCTCTACTCACAGAAACATCTTGCAGAAATCTTCCTGAGCGGCCCAAATAAGACTGCCCTTTTATTTCCACGCGGAATCCACCATCTGGTATGACTCCTGCTACAGTAGAGACAGTGATATCCCCTTGGAGATATTACCATTAGGTTTGTTTTTGTCTGGGACAGCAGATAGCCTTGCTGATGTTACCTTACTTGAGTTCTCTTGTGGGCTGTCCGCTCTGCTGTTATAGAAGCTCTGTGGCGGTAGAGGCCTTGTCTTTCCTGTTCATTAATAGATCTTAAACTCCTAATACATTTGCAGAAACAGAATAGCTATAAGATAAGCATGTGCGTAAAGAAGAAATGAAGGGAGCCTGGGAGAATAAGGGGAGACTATGAAAGCAGAGGAGGCCTCTGGGAAGGGAGCATGAGACCCGATAACTCGAAAGAACTTGTAATAGAATGACGATGCCTGTGTTTGCTTCCTTTGGAGTTTATCCTCTGAAAGTCATACTTAAGTATTCTGAAGCTATCAGGGACAGGTTAGTTCTACGTGTAGGATGTCAGTATATTAAAATCTATGTTTTGATAAAGTAATTCTGTTTTCGTTAGTGAAAAGAAACATTTTCAATAATCTTAGATTGGCTTCTGCTTTGATGATACGCTTTCACGTTCATTTTCTCAATTTTTTCTTATTAGGGTTATTTTGGAAGTGGGGGTTACTTTTCTGGTTATCTCTGATGACTTCAACCTTCTTTAAATCTTCCAGTCCCCTAGGTCTTATTTGATTGTAGCTCTCCACAATTATGAGGCTACCAAAAGCAAGAGTCCTTTCTGCATATTTCTCAAATCATATTCAATTTGCTGCTTCATAAGTGGCATGAAGGACTTTGTTCATTCTCAGTTTATTTCCTGCTGATCTTTCCTCCAGCATCTCCCTATCAGTTCGCCTCTGTATGGCAGAGGATCACTATCCGTGGCTCTTCTGTATGGAGCTTTCTAGAAATCTGATGGTATTGTTTGCTGAACATTAAAAAATCTTCAAATCTTTACAGAGTTTACTATATAACATCCACCATTTTACCAGTTTCTGCAGACACTTCCAAGTCCATCAGCAACCAGTTCACATTGTTGCTTTATCTCTTGTTGCCCAAACTGGATGTCAGAGTCACACAGGAACATTTAGCTTCCTCTGGGCTTCATTATGCCTGATTCTACGCCTGAAATGACCTCTTTCTCATCCTTCTCATGAGGTTTCCTTCATCCATCTTAGCATGATCCCAAATTGCCCACTATATGAAGTTTCCTAAAATCCAGACTAATTTTGCAATGACTTTCTCATGCATGTTCTCTTTGCCTCCACCACCATATGTAATACAGCAATTATCTGCCTGGATCTTTATACTGTGGGCTTTATGAGGACAGAAATTACTGTACTAATATCTATCTATTAGATCACAGCATTCAGTAGGTCATCAAATATACTGTACATTAGAAGAGAACTCCTAGAAAGTTAAGGTTTCTTCTGTGTACACACTACAATGTATTTATTATATAGAATTTTCAATTATTTTCTAATTATGTGGTCCCAATTATTCCCACTTTATTAGTTCAACATAAATTTGTGTTCATAAATAAACTAATCTGGATTTGGTAATAAGATTTTAACATACATTCTTAAGGAAAAAAATAGAAATTATTCCAGTTTATATTGTGAAAACAAAGTCAATATATCAAACAGGTGAAAAGTATAAGTATGCCAAGCCCATGACTGCATTCTTCTCTAAGAAAAGAAAGGTCTGTATATTTATTTATAAAATTCTTAGAATTACATGAATGTATCTTAAGCCATACTGTATAAAGCATCAACCTTGTTCTTAAACACAAATTCTTTACATTTACACAAATGGCTATATTTTTATAGCAAAATCTTGTATGAAACTGAAAAAATTCAATTAAATTTACCTTATATACCACAGATGCATACACATTGTTACCTGAAATCATTTTATTTTATATAGCTATCTAAACCTCATGGATTGTATGTATTGGTTTTGTACTCATGTACCTAGAATGATTTTACAAATTTGTGGTTTGCCTCTGTCATTAGAATGGAAAGATCCTAAATCCAGACTTTGCCCCTTGCTAAACTAAATCAAATTCTAGTAAAGACCAAATATTTAATACCTTTGAAAAATAAATCGATGAATGGAAGAGTCAATGAGCCTTATATAGTTTAAAAAGTACATGTGAATAGAATAGAGAATAATATGCATTCCTCTGTTTAATTTAGAGCCTCCTGAGAGTTGCCAACCAAAATACTTTTCACAGCAGTTATATTAAGTAAAAGATGACTTTGTCAACCAAAATATTATGTAGACTATTTTCATATTGTTTCACTACTAAAATTGGGAAACTTAAAATAATTCTCAATTGTTTTTCTCTTCATATTAAAATGTTAGTTATAGACACACATTCAGAAGAAATCATACTGTTGACTTCAATGCCTGATTTTAGTTAAATAATTTAGTTACTTAATTCAGGATAGTTAACTTGATCCTGAACTATTTACTTTTTTGTGGATTAGAGATAAAACTTACAACTCATTTGGCTGTCAGAATGAAGAAACGAATGTTTGCACAATATTTAACAGAGTAATATACTGATAGTGAAGAAATGCTAACAAAAAATGTCACCCTGGAGCTGGAAGCAAGTCAATAACATATCATTTCAATCTTCTATTCTGGGGTCACAAATGTCATAAGATGCTGGAACCAGATCTCATATAGCCTGTGAACATAACCAGCCAGACTGGACTGTCTATTATAGAGGCAATAATTAATTTCACTATCAGCAAGCATTTTCCTAGAAGGGTTTTTTTTTTAATACGAGGATTTATTATCTCTCTTATTCCCTCTATTCTCTTATACTGGGGAATGGTCCTGTTCTTTGTGGTTTTGCTGTCTTCTTTTTAGTTAACTCGTTGTTGATTGTGCTCACAGACCAACAATTTCTCTTCCCCATAGAGAGGCAGAAAAATAAAAGATATCAGAATCCAGCGCTGCAGTTGCATTTTGAGGTGTATTTAGTCAGCCTGAGTGATTACCCGCATCCTTCTCTTGTCACTCAACAGGTTCCAGGCAGCATCTCCCACTCTCTACCCTGTGTGTGTTTGCATGTTTAAAAAACTATATAAGGAGCCAGGCGGTGGTGGCGCACGCTTTAAATCCCATCACTCGGGAGGCAGAGGCAGGCGGATCTCTGTGAGTTCAAGGCCAGCCTGTTCTACGAGAGCTAGTTCCAGGACAGGAACCAAAAAGCTATGGAGAAACCCTGTCTCGAAAATCAAAAAAAAAAAAAAAAAAAAAAAAAAAAAAACTATATAAGGAGGTCTCATCTTCCAACTGGGACTTCCCAATGACAATGTGTGTACTTTGTACTTGCTAGCCTTCCATCACTCTTTTCTACCTAGTGCTTGCATAACACTTTATTTGGAGGCTTTTTGTTTGATTGTTTAATACACACACATTCACCCTTACAATCAAGTCTCCTCTCACCGTCTTCACCTCTCTATTCAATTCTAAAGAACTGCGTCAATTTAAACATTCATATCTTTTTGCGTGCTGCTTACAGCTAGTTTTTGTCCCATCTGGACTGTTAAGATCACTTTTGGATGAGGATGATGACTCGGGAGAAGAGACCCTCAATTGTATTAAAGCATCCAATACAACACAGCCCAAGTCTTGCTTCAAATTCTGCCTCAATGTCACTCTCTCCCTAAGGTTCTCTTACTTAGTAAATCACATGTACTGCATAACTTGTACTCCATTCTACTCGAACATTTTTATTGCATGATGGTAAAGACAAAACAGGAAAGTATCTGATATCAGGAGAGTAAATTTCAAGTAGTCTCTTCAGAAAAGTTGATAAATATGTGATGTGATAGATATGCTAATTCACTTGTGTTGATTATTATACAATTTCCAGAAAAATTGTAACATCAACTTTGGGTTCCACACATGTGTACAATTGCAATTTGTAAAAATAGCATAATAGAAACTAGTATAGTTTTTAAAAGAAGAAATTATTTTTTAAGTGACAATAGCACACACACTCAGAAAGTCTTAGCAAACTTAATCACGACAGCTTTCAAATCTCTATAGTCAACCAGAGACAGCTCTTCCTCCCACATAACACTAACTTAGCAATTATGTTCATGTGATGAAACCTGACTTAAGAACTTATTCCTTTATTTATAATCTAAATTTAGTGACCCCTAGGTCAAGGTGCACTCAATCTAAGCAGTGTCTTGTAGGGATAAGTCCCTCCCCTTAGGGGGCGTGTTCACCTCGGGCTAATGTTGGCCTATAAATTTGGCAAGCGTGCTCCCAGCCATCCCTTTCTGCTTTCCTGGTCTCCGCGGGAACGGTGGTTCTGTAAGTCTATTTCGCCATTAAAGCTATATATATTTTTACAATCTGTCTGCATTCGTTTACGCCGCTACATTTTGGCGCCCAACGTGGGGCTCGAACCCACGACCCTGAGATTAAGAGTCTCATGCTCTACCGACTGAGCTAGCTGGGCAGTCAGGGTGCTGGGGACGCAGCCCCGCCACTCCTATTACTACAGTGTCTAAAATTGGGAAGTTGGTATTAAACAAAATAACATTTACAAAGATTTCAAGACATTTAGTTGTGCAGCTATTATGTTCACTTTGTCACATGCAAAATAACGGAGCAGCCACAAAAAGAACATGAAGGTCAGATAAACTGATTTACAGGCTACAATACCATCCTTATTGTTACTCAAACGGAATCAACAGGAAGCAAAGATGAGTCAGACCAACTTCCGTCCACTCTCATCCCATTCTCAAGTCGCCATTTGATAGGCACAAATATATATATATATATATATATATATATATATATATATATATATACTCAGAGGCAGCATAGTGTGGGCCATACCACAGCCTCTTCCATTAAAGACACAGACATCAAGGCAAGGTGACACATGGTTGTGTGACTGTGACCACCTCACGGGAGGCAGAAAGACTCCAGTTCAAAGAAAGTTGGGCTACACAGGATAACCTGTCTCAGCCATTTTTTATTAATCAGTAAAGTGGATCTGAAAGTTGTAACTACACTTTAGGGCTTTGAGGAGTAAGTAAGATAAAGTAGTACAGGTCCCAGAACAAAGAGATGTCTACTAGGTATAATTACTTATTACCATCTTTGTTCAAGTCATCTGTGCCAATGTCACATTATTATTATTATTATTATCATCATCATCACATGATTTATTGTTATTAATTATTCTTATAATAATAGTAGAGTAGTTCAACTTCCACTCTCCCCAGTGTTCCTAACTATGATGCCCAATTAGACTGAAAAGACACATGATCACAGCTACACTTTACAAAGAGAAATTAATATAATTATACCATTAGGGGACAGATAGAAGAGCCAACACTGACTTCTTTCTATGAAGCAGCTGAAGGATGGGAAGGGCAGTGATAAGTGTTGGATTCTAATGCTTTCGAAAGCAAAAGAATTAATAAAAATTATGTGCCCAATGCATCATTTTAAAAAAGAAAACAACAAACTATTCAGACTTCATAGTGCACCTAATGTCCTTTCCAAGCCCAGTATATTTAAATTTTTTTTTGTCCTGGAAGGTGTGCTCTTGTCATTTCTTAGGTATTCTGTGTTGCTTGTTGGCATCATTCTAACTACCTAAGGACAAGAATTTTAAGAAACACTCAAAAGTACACGATTTGAATATTCTTTATAATCATTTCTCAGAAAAAGACCCAAAAGAAGGATATGATACAAAGTAAACAAACAAAAAATTTAATTCATCATTCTATCACTTTTCATGACTGGAGATGACGTAATCAGAGAACTAACAGATGTTGAACAAATGGCAAAATGAACAGACTTAAATATTGAAGGTTTTTTAAAAAGATTTTGCTAGAAAAAAAAAGATACTATAAATGATACTAAATGTCACTACAAAACACTTTGCTTATTACTTCTCTACTTTTTAAAGGCACGTTTTTAAAAATATCACTTTTCATAAAATACTTAGAATGAAGTTTTACAAGCAATTTGTCAGCTGAATTTTGGGGATAGCTACAAGGGATTGGCAATACCCACGAAGGGTACTTAGCTGAATCAGGAGGGATTCTAGCATACTAACTTTTCCAGAAGACTGAATGCCTTTGATCATGGCCAGACAAACCATGACCCAGGCAGCCAGCAGGCAGACAGTCATCTTCCAGTTCAAGCCTCCACTTTCAGAGATGGAACTGGTGATATCCAACGCTTCCCTGTACCAGTAATAGGTGGTGGCGGAACTTTTTTCACATTCTGGCTCGATATCTGTGTGGAAAAAAAAAAAAGAGATAAGATGCAATAATTCTGACTATATATGAGGAGCAATGAGTAATATTGGATTTTGCTGAGCAAGTCCATTAGCCAATTCTTATCCATTTCCTAGAAAATAATTAACCTAAAAACAGCGGTCAAGCTCACAATGAAATACAAAAATTTGTAGACTCTGAAAAATCCGGGAACAGGTATTCTTGATAGTTATTAAGAATTCCAAAGGAATACATGAACTTCTTAAGGAAATAATTGAAACAAGTAATTAACATTCCCCTTCCCAGACCCATAATTATATGATACAGGAGCACAGCAATGTCAGATGTGATAGCTGCTAGCCAGAGATTTTGCTGAAAAGCAGAATGAAGGGATATGTATGTGCTGTTAAAGTAAAATTCAGGTAGGATTTTTGGAATTTTTGCCTGAAAACTAAGGTTAACTATAATGCCAACAAAATAATATTTGCATACATTGCAAGTCCAAATGGTAACATTTGTATATACTGGATTAAATAAAAAATATTTCACATGTTTTATTTTACTTTCTTAAATGGGACTAGTAGAACATTTTTAACTTCATGAATGAGTTGCCTTCTATAGAAAATGGTTCTTTATATTCTAAGATTTAAAAAAAAAATGATGACGACAAGTGGCCATTCCAAAAGCCGAAGGGAGTCTATTATGATGCTCACTACAGACGTTTTGTTTGCTTGTTTTGGTTTTGGATTTTTATTGTTGCCACCCACTGCAGTTTCTAAAAAGCAGAAAAGAAATCTGTGCCTTTGCCAGTTTTGAAACCATTCAAGAGGAGAAGACAACAAAACATGCGTCTTACAAGTATGAGATGCATTTTTCACCAGGGGGCATTGGTCCCAAGGAAGAGGTTGTTGAAAAGACTGAGAAAAGTAAAACAATGTCCAGCCAATGATGACGTTGTAGTAAAGAGCCACAAAGTAGCATACCTGCAAAAAAGTAAAAGAATGTCCTTTTATCGCTCATCCTCTGACGCTCCCTTTAAAACAGCAGGGTGGAATTCATAATATTTAATATTTTTTTAAGTTGTAATAATATTTAGGTCTTGATCTTATAATATTTTTATCTGAAAGCATTATCTTTACTTTAAAATAGTTTCTGAGTTGAACATTTAAAATCCATTTCGAGATTGAGGTACTATCAGTTATCATAGATGATTTTGTAAAGTGCACTCTGTACCAGCAGCTTATAACAAGTGAATAAAGAACTATACAGAGACAAAGACTTGGAGTTTACAGAGAAGAGGATTGCATGATTCTAAACCAGCACAGGTAAGAACAATGTCAGAGGAAGAGACTTACTACACAGCTCGCGAATCCAATCCCGCCCAGTTTAGGGCTTATGTAATTCCAAACCCCGATGCTGCCCCTCCGAATTCTTTGACCCACAGAAAGTTCCAGGAAAAAGAGGGGAATTCCTATTACCAGAAGTAGTATTAAATATGGCAGAAGATATGCACCTAGAGGAACAAAAACAAACAGAACATGCCTTATTTTCAAGTTATAGTAGAGTATACATTGATGCTAAACTTTTTATGAAAGACGATTTTATGAAAAGTTTTTTCTATAATACAAATAGAGGTTTTTGAGAAAATATAACTGATTGTCTTTGAACATCCAAAAGGTTGAATCTTGTATTTAATTCCTCTAAGAAGTCTCGCAGGCCAGCTAGATGCTACCTTTCTGCACAAGTCTGATGACGTGAATTTGATTTCCTGAACCATAGTGGAAGGAGAAAACTATCCTGAAACCTCCTCTGACCTCTGCACGCATGTTCCTCTGAACACACATATGCAACACATTCTCCAATTCAGCCGATTTTTCTTACAAGATATGCAATGTTGCTCTCTATTTACATTGTTAGGCAAGAAATCAATAGTAGGAAAATTAACCTGAATATTACTTTTATCAAAGAAAGAGGTAGAGAGGTAGGTCTTGTTAATAACTAATAGTCAAACTTTTAATAGCTGTCAACAAGGCTGAAGTCATACTGAAAGGAACAAAACCAAACTTTAATCTGAGTCTGTCTTTATCCTTAGCGGGATGTCCAGGAAGTTATAGAAAGTGAAATGTCTCAAAGTAAGTATTTCCGCCAATCTTAGAAAATGAAACGAATAGTGAGAAACTAACAAAAAAGCAAGCAGCAAAAAACAAACAAACAAACAAACAATTTTTATTTAAAAAAAGGACATCTACAGGTGCTAAGCTTTGATACCATAAATAATTCCCATGGGATATTATCAACTTGCTAGAGAATTATTGTTTGATGAGCAGTATGGAGTGCGTAGCTTACTTGATGTGAAATTGAATTCTTAGTTCTTAGTCAGGTTCGTTCAAAAGTTTGCTTTCCAAACCTCTTACTATGCTCCTGGTGGAATTCTCTAACCACCTAAAATATACTTTAATCACCATAAGGCCTTGGCATTTTATCTTAGTAACTGAGGAAAAATTGCAAATGACTAGTTCCATTCATTTGACATGGTTTGTGTGTGTGTGTGTGTATTATAATTACTGCAAAATAAAACCATAATTGTTTTCAGCCAAACAAACTATCACAGACCAGAAATAATATCAAACCACCCCTTGTAATAGTTGGAGATAAAAATGTGTACCTTTCAGAATATGTAGGTTAGGGATTGTGTATGTGTCGGGACATAAGCATGTAGAAACCAGAGGTCAATTTCAGGCATTTTGTCTATCAAAATAAACTTTGTCTTTTAAGACAACGTCTCTCATTCAGACTGGCACTCACTGAATTGGTTTAACTGGTTGACTAGCAAGCCCCATAAATTTGCATGACTACCTGTCATGAGCATTCGGGTTATAGATGCGTGCTACCATGCTTGGTCTTCCAAACTCAGGGACTTAGGCTTGCAAACCATGTAATGTTCCTACTGAGTCATCTCAGTCCAGAGTATGTACTTTTATCCATATTTGCTTTATCATACTTTATATGCATATATTATACAATTACAAAAATATTGGTGATATACATATCAATACATAAATATTCCCCTCATATATGTGTGTATGTATGAATGTGCTTGCTTGTTTGTTTGGTTTTTTGAAACAGGGTTCCTTTATAGCTTTGAAGCCTTTCATGGACCTCGCTTTGCAGACCAGTCTGGACACGAACTCACAGAGATCTGTCTCTCTTTGCCTTCCAAGAACTGGGATTAAAGGCATGCACCACCACCGCCCGGCTGCTGTTGTGTTTGCTTTTGATGCAGTACTTCTGTGTGTAACAGTTCTGGCTATCCAGGAAGGCACCTTGTCAACCAGAATAGCCTCAGACTCACAGAGATTCTCCTGAGTGCTGGGATTGAAGGCATGTACCACCATCCCCAGCTTTTTCACAAGAGTTTTATGACAGTTTTATTCTTTTTAAACTGTTGAAAATTATGTGTCCACTATACAGAGTAAAAGTGCTAATAATGGTGAAACTATTTTTGTTTGAAATGAAATAAGAGTATTCTTTTTTTCAAAGAACTTGTTGAAGCCAGACAGCATTCCTCAGTATTATATTACAGACCTGTATTAGATGGTGTAAAACCTCCAAGGACAAAGAATGAATGGCATTATGGTAATTATCTGGTTCAACTCCTTCATGAGTCCTAAAAGTGCTAGTCCACATTAAAGACCATAATCATTCTAAATTACATGTTAGTTCTTCTTTTGTTAAAGAACGAAACAATTTAGAATTCAGAGGTAGTAAGTCACCGAGAGAACATTCATGTTCAGTCAGTGCTGTCGGCTTTAGATTCTCATTGAAAGCAAAAGTCCGGCATGCAGAGAACAAAACCCATGTTAGAAAAGTTCCCCTCAGTACTTCGGCAATGTTTACAGTATTCAGGGAAGACGTTCAAGAATGCATTTCCTTGAGCAATCCCTTAGTATTTGTAGGACACAGTTGTGTTTCTCTGGAAACTTAATAACACGGTGCTGGGCTTGCTTCCCATAAAGGAGTCTCCCTAGCTTTGTAACGGAACTCACAATTTCTGAAAATATGATACTGTAACAGTAGTAGGAGCTATCCGAAATAACGAACAGTAATTCACCAGTGTAGCAATTCATCATTAAAGCAAGCAAACGTGACTTACCACCACCATTCTTCTGACAGAGGTATGGGAATCGCCACACATTCCCCAGACCTACAGAAAATCCAACTTGAGCCAGAATGTATTGCAGCTTACTGTTCCAAGCAGGCCTTTCATCATCTGCTTCAGATCCATCTTCGACATCGGTGTCTTTCTCTTCTTGAACATCAACGATTAGTTCACTCTTCTTAAAAGCCTCTTCGGGTGAGTCTTCGTTGGACAGAAGGTCCTTGACAGACTCAATAACCTCATCATCTAAATCTCTCTTAACCACTTTGCTATTCTTAGGCATTGGAAAGTATTATTTAAAAGACACCTTTGAGGCAAATGTCTTTTTCCCAATGTTATTCAAAACGAAGTAAATCGAAGAATATCATATAGAGTCTTGATTCAAGGTGAGGAATTTTTAGGGATCCTGGAACTGATCCCGATACTCTGTAGATAGCTGTGAAATGAAAAGTTGAAATGTGATATTTAATAGTGAAAAATATCAACAATATTTCAACATCCTTTCTTGCTCCTCTTTTTGGTAGAGTCCCTACCCAATATTACAAAGCATGATTGATCTTGGTCAACCAGAGCTCAACAATTTCATATATGATTTAGAATTTGTATAAGTTTTATTCCTACTTCTTTTAGTTTAATTCTTCCTTGAAAAAATACACTTTAATCTAGACTTTAATGAACAGTATGTATACCTTCATTATTTGCTATGTTTTTTTAGCAATTGTAGAAAGTTGGTTGAGAGAAAGATGTAGATTGAAATTTAAAATAATGTATCAAAATTGGGAAATAAAATAAAAGGAATAGGTATAAATACAAGCATTAAAATGCCATTGTTACTTCATGAAAGATGTCGGACACTAATGTGAGCTATTTTCTTTTTTTTTTTTGCTTTTTTATTTTTTTTTATTTTTTTTATTTTTTTTTAAATTTATTTATTTATTAAGGATTTCTGCCTCGTCCCCACAACCGCTTCCCATTTCCCTCCCCCTCCACCGATCAAGTCCCCCTCCCTCATCTGCTCAAAGAGCAATCAGGGTTCCCTGACCTGTGGGAAGCCCAAGGACTGCCCACCTCTATCCAGGTCTCATAAGGTGAGCATCCAAACTGCCTAGGCTCCCACAAAGCCAGTACGTGCAGTAGGATCAAAAACCCACTGCAATTGTTCTTGAATTCTCAGTATTCCTCATTGTCCGCTATGTTCAGCTAGTCCGGATTTATCCCATGCTTTTTCAGACCTAGGCCAGCTGGCCTTGGTGAGATCCCGATAGAACATCCCCATTGTCTTAGTGTGTGGGTGCACCCCTCGTGGTCCTGAGTTCCTTGCTCGTGCTCCGTCTCCTTCTGCTCCTGATTTGGACCTTGAGATTTCTGTCCGGTGCTCCCATGTGGGTCTCTGTCTCTGTCTCCTTTCATCGCCTGATGAAGGTTAATATTCATGAGGATGCCTATGTGTTTGTCTTGTGAGCTATTTTCATAATCAAAAAGATACTGTCCTCTTCGTCTCTGCATGTTCTCATATAAGCTTTCTTCTTTTATGATAGTGGAATCGTATAAGAACTAATATGTCCATGTGAAAAGATATATCACTGCCAAATATTTAAATCTAGTTTACAAAGACGGGCCTCCTGAGCTTGAATCTCCTCTCCAAATCTTAGGGATGTTACTATCCTGGCCAAGTTATTCAACTCATTTGTAAACTGAAAATGATAGTAAGCTTGCCCAATAAAAGTTCTTGCAGAAGTACCACCACAACGAAAAGGTGCAGCAAGTGCCCACTTTTACTGCTGTGGCTACATTCACTCCTTTGAGTGCAATAGTCTATAATTAATTTGTTGAATGTCCAGAAGGAATGCTCCATGCTTCAGCAGGATTTTTTTCATAAATACTACATTCTTTTTCTGCACATCGGGTCAATTTCACAACCTTCTAACTTCAAACAAAGCAAGGGTTTTAACTGTGCATGATTCATTGGTTTACTAATGTAGCTAGACTTTCAAGGACAGTTCTTGCACCAGTTATTACATGCTGTATTGATGTACGAAAGACCCCTTTTGGCTCCAATATGATGGGCTGAAAGTCTCTGCCTCAACTAGACAGGAGCAAACTAGCATTCAGGTCGCTGTATTTTTTTTTTCTTCTAGAAGTACTCTTTCTAAAATACTGGCTCCCACTGTCTATATTGTAAATACAGATTCCCAACTCCAGACTACAGAAGGTAAGCCCAAGCAAATGTACTAGCTAGCCTATGAGTTATATTTGAAAATGACTCACTGGTCAGAGACAGTTTCACAACTAAATCCACGCCAATTTGAATAAAATAGATAACTAGACCTATGGAACCAAACGGAGGACCTGCAAATAAACCCACACAACCACGGTTACATTAATTTTTATGAAGGAGGAAGAAAAATCAGCCTATTCAACAAATAGTGCTGCAAACTTGTATGTCCACCTTCAGAAAAATAAATTTAGATATATATCTCTCATGTTGCATTAAATCTCTATTAATGATAATAGGCCTTAATTTAAAATCTGAAACTACTAGAAGAAAAGACAAGATGTACTTCAAGGTAAAGGCAAGAACTTTCTGAATATAATCTCAATAGCACAGGAAACAACATTAAATTAAGAAACTAAGTTACATAAAAATTTAAAAGTATGCACATGAAAGAAAAGTGTCACCATAGCAAATGGGCAGTCTATAGAATGGAAGAAAAATTTTCACCACTTTACTGAAAATAAGAGTCTAGCATCTAGAATATGTAAATAATTGCAAAAAGTAAAGAAAAACTTCTGCCAAAATAAATAGGCCAAAGAACTAATCAGGAAGTTTTCAAAAGAAGAAACACATGAGGTCAATAAAAATTTTTAAATATGCATAAAAAATGGAAATCCTATTTATTCATGGAATGAGTGTAAGCTGATAAGTGTGAAGTTTTCTCAATAAAATTCAGAATAATACTATAAGACCCAGATATCCCAGCCCTTGATATGCACCCAAATGACTGTATCAGGCCACAAAGATACGTGTACAACCATGTTTATTACAGCTCTATTCACAACAACCATGAAATGGAATCAGCTGAGATGTCCATCAGCTGATGAGTTGATAATAACTATGTAGTGCATATTCACAATGGAATTGTCCCCAGCCATAAAGAAAATGAAATTATGCAATTCTCAGGAAAATGGAAATGTCTTGGAATGAAATTATGTTGAGTGAACCGTGCTAGGCTTAGACAAATGCTACGTGTTCTGTGTCATGTAGATCTTACTTTCTGATATTACATAAGTATATTTATATGAAAGTGAATGCGGTTGAGGAACTGAGCCAAGAAAAGTGTCCATGTAAGAGAAGAGGGGGTTTTAAGGGAGTTGGGGAGATCATAATAGGACCTGTTATTTGAAAGTGGAATGGATTATATTGAAAAGAGAGGGATACAGGAGGCCCAGAGTGAGGTGGAAGACAGGATCAGGCAAGGACAATCAACCAATACAACAAATGTGTGGAAATGTCATAATGAGTTCTGTTTGTTTGTTTTGAATGGGGTGCTGTGAAAAAAATCTCACTATATTGGTCTAGCTGTCCTGGAACTCACTGTGTAGACCATGCTAACCTTAAACCCACAGAGCTCTTCCCACCTCTGCTCTCCAGAGTGCTGGTATTAAAGGCATGCAAAACCATACCCAGGTGCAATCTAAACCTTAAAAATAGAAAAACGAAGAGATAAATCCCATTTTTTTGAAGGAGGGGGCAGCAAAGGGTGTATGACAATGGAAGAAAAAACTATCATCATCATTTTTTTAATATAATCTTCCTTCCCTGTGGTTTGCATCATAAGGAAACAAACATCAAAAAATAGCTGAAAACTCCTTAAGTTCCATCAAATGTGTCAATGACAGAACATAACTATTTCGTTAGTGGTGGATCCTGCTTTCTGATTTTCAGAACTACTTTCATTCTTTTCTCTTTCTATCTCATTGTCAAGCACCCCTTGTGTCCATGAGTTTTTGTGCCAGTTTCTTTCTTTCTTTCTTTCTTTCTTTCTTTCCTTCCTTCCTTCCTTCCTTCTTTCCTTCCTTCCTTCCTTTCTTTCTTTTCTTCTTTTCTTCCGTCCTTCTTTCTTTCTTCTGGTCTTTTGTTTTTCAGTTTACTTTTTTGCCAACATCACTTTCCACAATTGCAAAGAAAAAACCTCTAAATAACATAGCCCATTTATAGCACATTTAAATATCAAATTATTTTGTCTTTCTGGTAATAAGAATACCGACTTATGAAACATGCTGAGAACTTTATTGTTTAATTTTTCTCATTACTACATTTTTTCCATGATTTAATTATCTTCACACAAAATTTTATCCCCAAAATTCCTTACATTTTATCCCCAAACTATTAAAACCAATACATATGTCCGACAAAACTACTTTATATTTTCTTCTTCTTACAGAATGCTTTACCTAGTTTGGTTCTTTGTCTTCCAACACATGTGTTGAAATTTGTCAAGATCTATCAAAAAAACAAAAATAAAAACCGGTGAGACAGCCCAGATAATGAATGCAGTTGGCATTATGCCTGATCAGTGGATTAGTTGAGTTTTTTATGAAAGGACCCATGTGGTACAAGAAAAGAAACATCTCTTGCAAGTGGTCCTCTCATCTCCACATATATGCTGTGGTATGTACACAGAGAGAGAGACAGACAGACAGACAGACAGAAGACAGGCAGACAGACAGACAGACAGACAGAGATAGAGTCACAGATCTCAGATAGGTAACAGAGACAGAGAATGAGAAATAATTTAAAAATTAAAATTTTGAAACAAAAATAATTAATTAAAACCAAGTTTAATGGTATTTTAAACAATATTACATTAATATACAAATTTATTTGGTAACAATGGCATCTAAAAGTATGGCTTTTTCAGTTTGCAAACTTGGTGTGTCACAACATGTACATGAATACTCATCAATTTTACTAAACACTGTTTCATAATATACTTTGTTAAATTCACCTCTAGTTACCTTATATTATTATACTGTTATAATAATATATAATATAATTATATTATCATAATTCTTTTTTAATTTAGGAATTAATTTTACTCTATATGGAATAAAACTGATTTTTAATTCATACTTTTTCCCTTTCTAATGATATTAACTAGATTTTGTCATTTTATAAGATAACCTAGAATAAATATTTATGTGATCAATGAATGAATGGAGATAATTTAACCTGTGCTTCTTTAGTTAGCTAATTCTAATATCCCTCCCTCAACTAATGTTACTAGCTAAGATACAATGTTGAATTAAGATGCTAAGAGCAGACATCTTTTCATGTCCTAACATGACTAGGGAAATATTCTCTGTTTCAATTAAGTAAAATTTAAGCAATTTAACTTTTGTGAACATATTTTTTATCACTTTAAGGATGTTTCA